TCCCAGAATTCCCCAGCCAGCATTCGCTGGCTGGGGAATTCTGGGAGTTGAAGTCCAGACATCTTCAAGTTGCCAAGGTTGAGAAACACTGCACTAGATTTTATTGTCATTTTAGTTGTATAGCCAAAATGCTACATTCATTGCCCTTTCTCACATATACACTGATATAGCAGTGATGGCAAACCTTTTCAGCACCGAGTGCCCAAATGAAAACGTACGTGCATGCGTGTGCATGTGCACACACCAGAGTGCCGGACACCTGAAGACCAGCTGGCTGGCGCTCGCCTGCCTGTTTTTTGGGCATTTTTGGCTGTTTTCAGGCCATTTTCAGGCTGTTTTTCTGACAATTTTGGTCCCAAAAATGTTCTGAAAATGGCCCAGAAAATGGCTCCAAAATGGTCTGGTTTTTGGCTATTTTTCCGGCCATTTTCCAGTGCTCCGACACTCGCGAAAACCAGCTGGAGACGGTGCATGTGCCCACAGAGAGTGCTCTACATGCCACCTCTGGCATGTGTGCCATAGGTTTGCCATCACGGTGATATAGCATCAACCAGTTAACAATATTTCATACAAGAGACAGGTGATGGCGAACTTTTTCAGCACTGAGTGCCCAAAGCGGACGCCCCGTGCATGTGTGAGTGTGCGCATGCCGGAGCACTGGAAATTGGAACACCAGCTGGCCAATGTGTGCATTGCCTGTTTTTTGGGCCATTCTCAGGCCGTTTCCATGTTGTTTTCCAGGCTGTTTTTAGGCAGTTTTTGGCCGGAAAAAATGGCCTGGAAATGGCAAGGGAAACAGCCTATTTGTTGGCCATTTTTCAGGTCATTTTCTGGGGCTCTGATGCCTGTGAAGACCAGCTGGCTGGAAACCAGAATAGCCCCTGCGATGGCACACTTGCCCACAGAGAGGGGTCCGCGTGCCACCTCTGACACATGTGCCATAGGTTCGCCATCACGGCAATAGACCATAAAACACATGCTAGGCATATTCCTGAATAGTAGTATAGTATAATAGTATTTTTATCATAAAAAAACCCTTAGCTTTCTCCTTGCTCTAGCAATAAGGAAATAGTTATACTGTTAAATCATATCCTAAGGCAGACTTCTGGAGATTCTCAATGTGTTGAACTTCAACCTTCATAATTCCCAGCAAATGTAACCAAAGAAGCCCACTGCAGGAAGGACAATGGAACAGAACATACCAGTTTCCTTTAAGAAAAGTGCTTTGAAAGCATGATGTTACAAAATGGCCCATTTTCAAAGCAACAATTTGGCTCTGACATAGTGCTATAGACAACATATGCGCAATATGCAAATCCCCTTCTAGAAGTCATGTCCCCATTTTCTGGCTGTATCTGCTATGGTGACCTAGATTCATATCTTGTGTTGAGAGAAACAATACATTATCTTCCACTGAGGACCTGTATACTGCATGCGTCAAAAAGAGGGCCGTGAAAATATTTACAGACCTTTCACATCCTGGACATAAATTGTTTCAACTCCTACCCTCAAAACAACACTATAAAGCATTGCACACCAATACAACTAGACACAAGAACAGGTTTTTCCTGAATGCCATCACACTGCTAAACAAATAATTTCCTTAACACTGTCAAGCTATTTACTAAGTCTGCATTACTATTAATCTTCTCATCGTTCCTCAAACCCATCTCCTCCCACTTATGACTGTATAACTGTAACTTTGTTGCTTATATCCTTATGATTTATGTTGATTGTTTCCTAGTATGATTTGATTGCTTATTTGTACCCTATGACTATCATTAAATGTTGTACCTTATGATTCTTGACAAATGTATCTTGTCTTTTTATGTACACTCAGAGCATATGCACCAAAGACAAATTCCTTGTGTGTCCTATTCTATTCTATTCTATTCTATTCTATTCTATTCTATTCTATTCTATTCTATTCTATTCTATTCTATTCTATTCTATTGAGCCAAGGGGCTATATGCCTTTAAAATGCCAGCAATTGTCATGGTGCCAATGCTATATTAGGTTGATGGTACAAAAAAGGAATAGATGACCTTTTTGTTCTTTGCTCTTATATTATACACAACTCTAGTTTTTGTAGTCACTCCTACATAAAGCCATTTATTAGTGACAA